GTGTTGTTTGAGTTACTTTCCATATATTCCTACCCATTAAACCCGGCCAAGTTACAACCTGTGAAGTCCTTTTGATCAATTATGCATGTGTTAATGTTCCTTATCTTTAGGAACTTGAGAATTTGATCAAGCTTATGGTAATGTTATTGCTGTGATGGATTGAGTGATTGTTACTCCCTTAAACACTTGAGTGCTGAGTGCTATATGATTATCTTGGTGAGGGGTGTTCAAGCTAGATTCTGACATTTTCATGAGAATAGAAGGCATTGTTAGGAGTTCTTTGCATTGATTCAGTCATGCTTAGCATAGTGATCTCTTGATTGTCTGTGTGATATTGTGTTGGAATAATTGATTGTTTCCTGAATTGAGTACATTGCTGGGGACAGCAACGTTTAAATCTGGGAATGATTTGATGTGCCTCTGGCAAGTGTGGTTTTTCCATGTTAAAATTGATAAGAATTGAGTCATAAGAGAGTAATTTAAATACATATTTGCTATTTATATTGATTCTTTCAATGTCAATAATATTCACCTTTTGGTTGTGTTTTTACAGGAAAAGAGGAGTGAAAATTACAAATTACAAAAAGCCTGTTGACGCGACTCCACACATAGGAAATTTCACCCGGGTGCTGCGCAGGCTAAATACCAGAGAATTGGCGCTAGTTGGCGCCAGATTGGCGCAAACTAGCGCCACACATATTAAGCACCAACATTATGGCGCCAAGTGGCGCCCAAAGACAAGAAAACTGGCGCCAATTGGCGCCCAACAACAAGGAGGTGACGCCGATCCACGCAATCAGTTCCGACTTTTCGTATTCGAGGCAGCAAGTTGGCGCAAACGTGCGCCAAACCGGCGCCAACTGGCGCCGGGTTGCGAGAAAATAACACCGTCTTTCCGCGGGGGTATTTTTGGAAGAAGGAAAAAATAAGTTTATAAATAGGATCCTTGTGCTAGACCTAGATCATCTCATTCCATTCAAGAGGAGGCCGACGGCAGAGCTCAGAAGGATTCTTCCACAGTTCTTCTTCTTCATCTATTTCTCTGTAATTTTATGCTTTTGAATATTGAATTATTTTTAGCCATGATTATGCTTGGCTAGTTTTCTTTTATTGTAGTTAGGGTCACGAGCCCTATGTGAACCCTTGTTACGATGGATTGATTTAGTTTTATTCATTTATATAATTATCTTTGTCTCTACCTTGTGCGTATTTTCTATTTTCTTTATTAGAACTGATCAATCTGATAGTTGGGAATAGTTTGAGGGTTAGAACCCGAGATAGGAATATTGGGGTTTTGATCTTGAAAGGGGGTAGGACAACAATTGGTATGCATGCTAGGAATAGATGTGTATTTAATTGCGGATGCTTAAATTATTGCGTTCATTGCTTAATACCATGAGGAACATTGCAAGGAATTGGGGTTCCAATTGGGGATTAAAGGGTTAACCTTGCAAGGAATTGAGGGTTAACTAATAAATATTTTTAGATAATAATTTATCCGAGTAATTATATGAATAAATATTGTGAATCAATCCAAAGTAAGAAGTGGGGATCATAAGGTGAGTGCGCTCTAGCTACAATATTTTTCTCATATTTTAAAAATCAAATATCATCGTTATCATTTTATTTCTCTTAAATAAAAATATAAAAAAAAGTCTTTATTTTTATTTTATATTGTTACTCGAATTCAATTCACAATTTTTCAAACAACAAACCGAGTTTTCCAACTTAAGGGGACTGGTTATTGTAGTACTTGGTTTACAATCCCTGTGGAGACGATACTCTACTTACTCATTATATTACTTGTGCGATCGGTATACTTGCCAGAGAGCATCAACCACCCCAAAAGCTAGCTCAAAGGGTGGGAGTGCCCAAGGCCTTATAAACTCCACATTAGTTGCACATACAACCAATGTGGGACTATATATCTCAACAAAGGCGAACTAGAAGGGTACCCTATTCTGATCTTAGTTGATAGTGGCACTAGCCACAACTTCATCAGACCAGAGTTAGTTTCTTCTCTGAACCTTTTGATCAGTGAAACAAGAGAATTTCACGTCAGCCTTGGGGACGGCAACAAGAGATCTTCGAAGGGAAAGTGTACAAGCCTCAATCTGGAATTGGGTAAACACCAAATAACAATCAGAATCGATCTTATTTTGGGAATGGAATGGCTAGAGACCTTGGGCGAAGTTCGTCAAGACTGGAAGAAGAAGACCATTCAGTTCTTCCATCATGGGGAGTGGATCACGCTAAAAGGCTACTATATTAGTGAAAGGAGTCAACCAATGGCTTTGCAGGGTCTGCTGCACGAAGTGGGAGTCAATACGGGAGATATGGCTTTCGAAACAATGAAGAAGCTCCTGACCTCTGCTCCTGTTCTAGCCCTACCGGATTTTGGGAAGGAATTCGTGATTGAATGTGATGCCTCTGGTACAGGTTTGGGGGCGGTTCTGATATAAGATAAGGAGTCTATTGCCTATTTTAGTAAAGCTCTGGTTGCTCGTAATCTAGCTAAATCAGTTTACGAGAAAGAGATCATGGCCCTTGCTTTATCAATCCAGCATTGGCGACCCCATATGTTAGGCCGATCTTTCACTGTCTACACCAATCACAAAAGCCTTATGCACCTACTTTTTTAAAGGATACTACTTCAGATCAGCACTGTTGGTTGTCTAAACTCATGGCGTACCAGTTCGAGGTAGTCTACAAGCCGAGACCAGAGAATAAGGATGCTGACACTTTGTCGCGGATGCAGGAACTGATTGAATTGACACACATAGTGTCTAGTCTATATTGGCTAGATTTGGGAGTGGTAAAGGAAGAATACAAGTTAGATGCTGACCTGTAGGACATTATTACAGCTCTGGCCTTTGATCCCCGCTCTAAGGCAAATTATACAATGCAAGGAGAGCTTCTATTTAATAAAGGCCGAATGGTAATTTCTTCTTATTCCTACCTTATTACAGGAATTCCATTCCACTCCTTCAGGTGGACATTCGGGTTTCACTAGGACTTTCAAATGGCTCGCTGGCTGAAGGATTATTTTAGAAGGGCATACACAAACAAGTGATGGATTTCGCTAAGACTTGCGACATCTATCAACGTCATAAACATCAGACATTAGCTCTGGCTGGACTTTTACAACCACTTCCTGTTCCGCAACTTATTTGGGAGGATGTTTCTATGGATTTCATATCCGGTTTGCCCAAGTTTCAAGGTTATGAGGTCATTATGGTGGTAGTGGATCGACTCTCTAAATATGCTCACTTTATGTTGGTGAAGCACCTTTTTACTACCAAGCTCATTGTTGAACTGTTTACCAAGGAAGTGATATGCCTACATGGAATGCTAATGTCTATTATTAGTGACAGAGATCCCTTGTTTCTTAGTGTTAGAGAAGTATATAAACCATTGATGGACTTCACTTAACAGCTTAAGCTTTTGGGTTGAATTGGTTCTTTACATGGTATTAAAGCCTTGGTGTTACGGGTTCGATTCTCATCGCCCCCCCCACTTTCTCTTGTGGAATTTCTTAGCACAGGTAGGTAGGCCTGTACATTATCCACCCTTCATGCCCAGTGGGCTCTCGTGTGAGAGAGCGTGTTATAGAAATATATAAACCATGGATGGGCCTTCACTTAAAACTTAAGCTTTTGGGTTGAATTGGTTCTATACACTTAGCATTTTTTGTAAGGAGCTCTTCTGGTTGCAGGGAATTGTGCTTCACATAACTATATCGTACCACCCTCAAATGGACGGCCAAACCGTGGTTGTTAATCGCTGTCTAGAGACTTATTTGTGTTGTTTTGCATCTGAACAACCTAAGTGTGGGTCGTTATGGTTGTCCTTGGCAAAATTTTGGTACAACACTTATTCTATAACTCCACCAATACCACTCCTTTTGCAGCAGTTTATGGTCGAGCCCCCCTCCCCCCAACACACAACATTTTTCATTACCTGGATGGAGAAACACAGGTTAAGGTTGTGACCAGGGTGTTGTTTGATCGCGATAAGGCTTTAAGACAACTTAAGCATCATCTTTTGAGGGACCAAAATTCTATGAAGCGACAAGCTAACATCCGTCGCAGGGAACTCCAATTTGCTGTGGGTGATTGAATTTATGTGAAGCTTCGCCCCCATTGCCAAGTTTCGGTCTCTAGGCATATCAATCCTAAGTTGTCCACCCGTTTCTAAGGCCCTCCTTTTCAGGTTATTGCTCGAGTGGGCCCAGTGGCCTACAAACTGCTCCTTCCAGAAGCATCACGGGTTCACCTTGTGTTCCATGTATCTTAGTTGCGCAAAGCCATTGGTAGTGCTCCTGCTAAAGGCCACCTTCCTCCGGGACTAGCTGTTGAAGACACTATCACTCCTGAACCAGAATCGGTCCTGGCCGTTCGCAGCTTGGTGGATTAGGAAAAATCTTGCAATGAGTGCCTTATGTATTGGAAATCTAGACCAATGGAGGAAGCCACTTGGGAAAAGGAAAGTGATATTCGGGGGCAATTTCCTACATTTTTCCTCGAGGACAAGGAAAATTCTAGAGATGGTGGTATTGATAGGAAAACAACTTCAAAAAGCTTGAAGGCCAAAACAGATAAATGGTCTAGCCCAATTTTAGTGTATCAACAAAGAGCCAAGACAAGAGAGGGAAAGGAGGGTACTGAGCTGGAATGAGTTAGTTTTGGCATTGTGATGCTTGATTTCGGTTAAGGAGAGAGAGTATAGCATAATCTGTTAGTTTGTTGCTTTATATGAGTAGTGTTAATGTCACTTGGGTTTTTTAGGCATAACTTACATTTTTCTTTCTACAAGGGTAGAGAGGGGCTAAGGAGTGTTTCTCCAAAGCAGGGAGCATTGTTGCTCATATTTTCCTTGTTCTGAATGATACTGTATTGTTTTTTTCTGCATTCATATATACAGTTTCTCCCTATTTTCCACATAGGTGAGTTATATCCTATCAAATTCTTATAGTAAATTGATGAGTCAAAATTTCAGCTTCATACAAATTGAGGTGAATAATAACCAATCTATTATTAAATTGAAGTACATATCAAATAACAGCAGCAGTTAAATATTCCTATATGACTGCAATGCATCATAAAATGACCATGGATGCTTACCACTGCAATTGTTGATGGTGTAAACACCATATCCAACTTGACATACTCCGTACATTTTGTAATGGGCCAAGTAATACAATTCAAGATTGACACCTGCAATAGAAAATGAAAAATGATATTCAACAGTTTAAATTTTTATTTCAAAAAATTAATCTAGAGGCTATGGCTAATAGCGTAAAAATTTTTATCAAGTGGTTGTTATACATAGTATCAAAGTTAACCAAATGTTCTTGAGTTTGATCCTAAACAACCTCTACCATAATGAAAAATTCAGTTTTGCGCAAGAGGGATTAGAAAATTGAAACCTTCTATTGATGATTTACAATTTCTAACATTTGGAGACTTGGAAACTAGGAAATTAAAGAAAATGCTACAAATCAAATCCTAATTATATACGGTACATACAGTCCCAAAATAGGAGATACTTTCGGTAAAGAATCATTTCAACCCAAAAGCTTAAGTTGTTAAGTGAAAGCTACATTAATGACTTATATTATATTCATATAACACGCCTCCTCACATAAGGGTTCATTGGCTTGAAGGGTGGAGAATGCCCAGGCTCAACTACCCATTCTATGAAACTCCACAAAATTTAATTATTTGTTAGTAGAATGGAGGCAATGATATTCAAAATCGTGACCACTTGATCATAGAGACATTACTATCATGTAAAAAATCATTTCAATCCAAAAGTTTAAGCTGTTAAGTGAATGCCATATTAATGATTTTATATTATATTTCTCTAACACTATCCAACACTACCCTTCAAGGTAGAGCATACAAATCTTATGCACCAAACTTATCACAAATGAAGTGTATTCAAGATTTGCAAGCAACTTCGTATTAGCCACAAATGGCATTATGAATTCCTAGTCATGCCATTTGATTTGACTAATGCCTCTTCTACATTTCAATCCCTAATGAATGAAATGTTGAGGCCGTACTAGAGGAAATTCGCATTAGCTTTCTTGGATGACAACTTAGTTTACAGTCCCACAGAGGAGGCTCACTTGAAGCATTTAGGCCTGACTTTTCAGCAATTGATGGAGAATCATCTATGTGTAAATAAGAAAATATGTTGCTTTGGGTAAAGGAAGTTAGAGTATTTGGGCCCCATTTTTTCTGTAGAAGGGGCAGAAGCCAATTGAAAGAAAGTTCATGCTATGTAGGCTTTGGCCTATCCCAAAAGATTTGAAGGGCTGGAGGGGATATCTCAATTTGACTTATTATTATAGGAGATTTGTCAAATATTATGAAAAAAATCTCCAAGTCACTAACACATGTATTGAAGAAGGACATTTTTCAATGGGGGAAAGAAGCACAAGCAAGCTTTGATGAACTTAGAACAACTGTGACTAAGCTGCCCACATTGAGTCCCTGATTTTCTCCAAAACTTTTGTCCCAGAAAAAAATGCTTCCAACAAGGGATTTGGGGCTGCTTTATTATATGAAGGCTAACTTGTGGCATTCCTAAGTTAGGGTTGTCTAAAAAAGCTGAGACCAAATCAATTTATGAGAGAGAACTGATGGCAGTGGTGCTAATAGTCAAGAAATTTAAGCACTATCAAAATTCACACTAACCAACACAGGCTTAAATTCTTCAATGACCAGCGATTGATGAGTGAGGAACAATTTAAATGAGCTAAAAAATTAATTGATTTTGATTTTAAAATAAGGTATGAACCTAGCAAGGAGAATGCAATTGTTGATGCTCTCTCCAAGATGTTTTTCAGAACTCCACAGTTCAGCAAGGACACTCCAAATTTGTTAATACATATAAGAGGCTAGCTACCATAGTGTTTTGGGAGGGCATGGGACATGATGTTCAGCAATTTGAAGCAACTTGCCACATTTCCCTGCGTAATAAAGCACAAACTTCGTCTCCAATAGGGTTACTTCATCACTTCCCTATACTTACACAAGTTTGGGCTGAGATTTACATGGATTTTATTGAGAGGCTGTCAAAGTCCCAAGGGAAGGTTGACCAAATTTGCACATTTCTTACCTCTCCCTCGTCCTTTTATAGCTATAGATGTTGCAAATATTTCACTCAAGGAGATAGTACGTTGATGGGACTAAAAAGTGAGTTAGTTATTTAGGGGAATTTTCTAGAATATTCTTAGAGGAGAGAATAAAAGGAGAGTGAGTGTGAGTAGTGAGGTAGGCATGAATTGAGTGAAAATTGGGGAATTTGAGGATCTCTTAGGAACTCTTGGAGCCTAGGGTAGTTGGTTCTAAGGGGGAGTTGAGGTCTTCTGGATTTATCTTTCTGCATTAAGTCTTGTAAGGAGCTTGCCTCCATTTATGTTTTCATCAATTTATAGTGAATAAAATCGGGTTCGATCATACGCTTAAATGGTTTTACTACTTTCATTGTGTCAGATAGAGATAAGGTGCTCCTCACCCACTTTTGGACTGAGTTGTTCCACAATGCAGGGACCAAATGTGGGAAAAGATGTTGTCTCCATATCCTCTTCATTCACATAGTTTGAGTCACTCTGCCAACAGCGACCAAGACGCGGTGCGTAGGTGTTCCTCTGGTAGTTTGCACGCTCCTCAATCGTGCCCCGAAGCAGAGGAGACAGATGGGAGAGAAGTGGCAGCGCTGGGTCACCCTTACCAAGTTGTGGACTTCGATTAGGAAAAATGAAACGTGGCCCATCTTGTTTAAACCATTCATATTTTATTTGTAGTGCTCCTGTAACTTACAGGGGAATATTTTAGTTTTTTAATGCTTTTTATTTTTATTTTATTTTTTTTATTGTGTTAAAAGCTGAAACCATTATGAGTCTCTAATCATAACTATAATTTATTTGGTGTCTTAAATTAGAGATGCTGAATCTCTTTTATAATTTTATTTCCTTTATCTGAACTTATATTTGTGGTGACTTTCTTATTGTTGTGTTTTGGATTTATATATGTTGGATATTTAGTTTTTTTTTAGTATGAAGTAGACTCTTACGTTTCGTTTACGTTTTACGATTTTACGATTCTGTTCATCCCTACCGTTTCTACGTAGACTCTACGTTTTAATAACAATAATTAGGAGAAGTTGGTCCTCTGGATGGTGTGATTTTGTCATGACATTCTTATAAGGTTGTCTCAACCATTAATGTCCTTTTCTTTTCTCTGTAATTCTTGTTTGTAAGGAGCTTAGCTTCCAACATTTCATTAATCTAGTAGATTTTGACTTGGGTTCCATCAATTTGGTATAAGAGCATCTTCAATCACATAGGTGCTTTCTAATCCAATCATTAGAGAAGTAAAAAATCATAGGAATATATCTTGGAGCAGTGGAGAAAACCAGCATGTTAAAGTTCAAAGAAATTTGAAAAAAATGATGAAGATTTTAGATGAGGCAATGGAGAAGGTGGAGACACCAACCTTCGAAATCAAGAAAAAGCACTATCCTGATGGACTATAGTGGCGGAAAAGATGGAGAAGTTTGAGGATGAGAACAAGGCGCAAAAGAAGACAAAGTTTGCGGAAGAAGAAAAAGAAAATAAAGAAGAACAAGAGAAACAACAAGAAGATGTCGAAGAAGAATTTTGCGTAAAGACAAAACAAAAGCATGTGCCAAAGCTAGTGTTGCTTGCGGTCGAGCATGGAATGACAAAGACCCAACCAGATTCTTTCATGGTGGAAGTTGGAGTCACGAGGTCGTTGAAACCAATAAACAGAGATCCAATGGAAGAGAACCATCGCGCTACCGTCAACAACTCTTCAAAAGGTCAACCCCTATTCTTGAATGGGCAAATCATTTCTGCATCTGTGGCTGAAATTATTTTTCTACCACAGACACAAACATTTGAGAGAGAGAAAGCATAAAGAAGAGCGAGAGAGAGACACCAACATGGAGTCCACTCTTGTTTTGTGCCTGTGGCAGAAAAATAATCTCTGCCACAAATGCAGAAATGATTTTCTGTTCTTGAATTTCACATACCACTCAATAGATGTCATAGTTAGTTGGAGTGGATCATTGGGCCAGTTTCAGTAGGTCTAACCAAGGGGCTTCATGTCCAGACATCTATAGAATCCAAAAAAAATGCTTATGGCCCAAAATAATTTTTTGGAAGAGGCCCACAAAAAGGGCAGAAAATAGAGCATAAGGAGAATGGAGATATACACCGTTTCTTGGCCATAAATGCTATAGGAAATAGAGCACCAGTGTAGAATGGAGGCAAGGGGGCAATGGGATCCAATGGCAGCTTTTTGATTTCAAGCATAACTTGGTCAATATGCTCCAAACAATGGGATCTAGGTGGAATTTTCTCTCACATTTGTGGGAGGGACCTAACCTCCTTCTTCACCTTGAGGGCAGGGTGAATCTTGGAGGGGGAGTATTGATGGTCTAGGACAAATGGGCCAAGGTCTAGCCACTAGGAATCAGTTAGAGGAAAAAGAAATTGTCTAACAAATTGGTGAAGGATGGGATACATAGTGCATAGAAATTGTCTAACAAACTCTGCAATTCGTGTTGGTAAGGAGCTTAGCTTTCAACATTTCATTAATCCTGTAGATTTTGATTTGGGTTCCATCAGAATCTCACTAGGTTTCATGTGTGACGAGGTGTACAAGAGTTTTAAAAGCCATAATAAAGACATAGCTTAAGTGTTTAGGTTTGGTGGTTCTTTGACAAAATGGATGACGGAGAAAATAATGAACCACAAAAACCAAACAAAAACAATAATTAAGGATGCCTCTTTATTAATTTCATTCTATGGATATCTCGGTAATTTAAGCTCCAAAAGCGGTAAGACAGATGACATCTAAGAAGGTATAACAATCTAATAGATAAATTCTAAGGAAGCCATTCTAAAATATGAAAGGATGAAATAGAAACAGCTGGAACACAAAACCATCCCAAAATAATAAAACATATAGGCCAGCTTATTGTCTATTAAAGAAGGCATATTGCTAACCGAATTTGTTTTCATTTTATGAAGCCTAAGGCAGAGCTGCATTTCAATTTTATAAAGAAAAGGAATCCAAGACCCAGTAACAACCACAAAGTCTCTAATGCCCCACTTCGTTTCATGCAGGAAAAGGGCAAAGCCTTTATCATCCACAACGCTTAAAGAAATATGTTGATGTTGATATGAAATTGTCATTTTAATTAAGTGTGGATCACCCTTTCCAATATTAAAAGAGCAATTTTCCTTTCAAGCATGAAAGCACGTCACAAGAAAAAAAATTCTTCAATAAAAATAAATTAATAAAGATACTGGTTGCTTTAAGTTAGGAGCTATGACCTTCCTCCTATTTCTGTCACATGGTGACTCAAGTTGAACTGAAACATTGTCAGTGCTAGCAAAGTTTGCTGAAGGAAGCAATAATTCTGTGATATTTCCTGGAAATGTTTCTGGGGTTCCAGTAGAATATATTGTGCTGGCTGTGGCGTTGCTGGCATTCATATTTTCAGTGCTCCTATCCACACTTGCCCCCATGAGGATATACAGATATGTCCATATAAAAATTGCAGATACCTGAAATATCAGAAAGCAGATAAATTATGGCTACAAACAACAGGAAACAGACAAATGTAATAAAAATACCTAATATGGAAAGGTTTGAAGAAATACTCAAGACATTGCATTTTGTAAAGAAGCATTTCAACCCAAAACCTTAAAGTGTTGGGTGAGGGCCTTTTTAATTGTTTATATTATTCTCTAACACATCCCCTCAAGCAAGAGCCATTTGGGCTTGAAGTGTAGATGTTGCATATGCCCAATTTTTTTTTGTTGATTTATCTTATGCTTATTTAATTCCACAAGTGGGGAGCAATGAGGATCGAACTCGTGACCTTGAGGACACTAAAGCTCTGATACCATGTAAGCTCTGATACCTTGGGTAAGGACTTTTTTAATGGTTTATATTATTCTCTAACATATTTTAAGTAACAATACTTTTTAGTTTGGACTTCGAAACATTCCAAAAGGTGTCCCATTAATTTTCATTTGCTCTTTAATATTGACAATTGTTACCGATGAACACATTATGAAATTCAAAGACTATTTAAAAAGGCATGTCCTTTTCGTGAAAACATCTTAAACTAACAAAGTAGGCTAGTAGCTTTATGGTTAAAAACTATACTTAAGCATATATTGAAATAAAGCAAACATAGATCATACTCCCGTAGAAACCGACGCGTAAGCCTCTCCATATGTTGAGCAGGTGGATGAATCTCCAAATGGACTACTGCTCTCCTCACAAACAGCTGGGACAATGATAAGAAGCAAATTCCCCAAATTCCCTGTGCACATGAATCGCAATGCACAACCACCCTCAAAAATAAGAAAAAGAGAATGTAGGTACTAAAGTACATAATTCAGCATCAAAATTAAGGCCTTGAATTGCAAAATTTAAGGTTTCCACTCTTACTTTTAAGTTTCAAGTTCAACCCAAACTATTAACTCTCTTTTCTTTCCTTATCTTTCCCCCAATTACAATTTCGAAGGAGTTCATTAGGGAGGAAAAAAGTAAACAGACAGAGAGAGAAAAGAGGAGATTAACAAAAACACAAACCCAAGTAAAGGACAACCTAGTGCTACAAAGCTCCCACTATATGTATATATGTTCCAGTAAATGGACAGACACAAGTAAGGCTTCCATATTACATGGCAATTGGCAACAACACCAACTAAGGCTAACACAAACACAAGTAAAAATTAAAGTAAGAAATAAATAAAAAATAAAATAATCAGTGATATGATAAAAACATGGGGAAAAGATTTTCATGTTGTGCTACTAGTGAGCTATCAAATTGTGTACAACTAATTTTTTTATTTTTTATTTTTAATGGGTGATGGGGCACACCACATCTTGTGTCTATAGTAGGAAAAAGAATTAAGCTAACATGAGAAAAAAAAAGGACCCTAAAAACATATTGTAAACAGTTATATCTGTGAAATGTACGAACCGGCAGTGCAGCAACCATTGACGAGGCCTCGGAGGTGTTTAGGCGTTCTGGCGATTTTGTTAAGCATCCAACCGAGAATGGAACCAACCACGAAGGTTAAAAAGATATTCACCAGCATAAACCACCTGAACATAACATACACATAAGAAGCAGACATAATAATGTTAATAATGATGATGATGGAGCAGAACTGAGAAGTGATTGAAGTACTCACATTTCAACCAATCGATCAAACGTGATTGTTTCGGCCAAATCGGCAACGAGGAGCGCCGGAGTGAACACGTAAAACACAAGCTGTTCAATTTAAGCATGTTCATTAGGGATTGAAACCATCATCATAGACGTGAATTACGAGAAATTTGAAGGAAATGTTTGGGTGTGGCCCTAACGAATCGCGAGCATGCGCCATTGCTGGAGCCTCACGAGAAACCTGTGTTAGCACCGGAAAGGAAGTAGGAAGAGGATGGAACAAGTGAAACATGGCCTAATTGGTTGCTCTTTTTTGAAAATTATTCTCTTTTTTAATAAGGAGAAAAAGAAAAAGAAAATGGTTGCTCTGCTTGGACAAATAGAGACGAGAGAACTACGAGTCTACGAGACAGAAGATGGGGTGAGTGGCTTGTAAATAAGGAAGGTTATATTAAAAAAAAAATTTGTTTAAGTATAACCCGTGATACTATAATGTAATTTGAAAAACAAAAATTATAAACGGATGATTCGTCTATCTTCAATCACCTAATCCTTTGCTAAATAGTAGAAGATAAAATTATAAATTTCATCATGTCATAGATTTAAATCTTAATCTTATTGGTTTACTTAATATATATATATATATATATATATATAATACAGGTTGATAATTTGTATTTTATCATATATGTGTGTTTGTATCAGTTCTCAACCCAATAGAAACATTACCTGTAGACATGAATTTTCACCCTAAATATAGTGAGTATTTAATATTACATTATAATTAAAGGAAAATACACTTTTGAAGGTGTAAGCGGTAGGACCAAGTTGTAATAGAAGAAAAATAAGTTTAAATCGATTGAAGCACTTCAGTTCAATTTCAGTGAAATTATTTAGGTATCTTGAATCGAACTAGTTCTTTTAAATTCGGCTTGATTTAGGTTGACATACATTTTTATTATTTAAAATATTTTGTTAAACAATTACAAACATTGAGAGACAAAAATTAAACATAGAATCTGGTTGAATTTTGCCAGTGTCAATTTCCTGACTCGACCTAAATTGAATTTATCTTCTTTTTAACAAAACCAAATTACGGAGAAGGATATATCTATTACCAAAAAAGTTTACCATCTTTACAACCAACTAATCACTGTTGATTTCCGTCAATTTAACGGTTATCATTTATTGGAAATTATTAGATCGCATTTATTAATTAATTATTATTCTCAATAAATTATAACCGTTATATTGACTGAAATCAACGATGATTAGATTGGTTGTAAATGTGGTAAATTTTTTTGGTGGTAAATATATCCTGCCCCAAACTAATTACCCGAATTAGCGTCTCATATGCATTCTTTCATGATTTTATCTCAAGAATATTTTCTTCCCACCACAACCCTCGCATAATAAATTTTTTTATTTAACCAATGATGATTGGTTGGTTCAAGTGGTAATGAATATGTTTTCCCTAATCAAAGGTTTCAAATTCAAGTCTTAGGAATGGAAAGTATAATATTGAAAAAATGCCCCTACAATGGATACGACAGTAATAGAATTGGACTAATCAGTGGATATATATATATATATATATATATATATATATATATATATATATATATATATATATATATATATATAGGAAGGATATTGTGACAACCAAATTGTGTTACTACCACGTGACTACCAATTAATCTCACCGTTAGATCGATTATGTTGATCCAACGGTTATATTTATTTCCATCTTTGTATGGTCATGGTTTCCCAAATTTAATACTTTATATTTATTTCCACCTTTGTATGGTTATGATTTCTCATATTTAATGCTTTCACTTTAAATATAGGAAATCATAACCATACAAAGATGAAAATAAATATATATATATATGGGGCAAGTTATATTTATAAATTTTTTTGTTTACAAACTACACTATGTAGGACCGGTCCTACATTAATCACACAATGTACGACCGGTCCTACATTAGTGTAATTGCAAAAAAAGTTTGTAAACGGATCGTGTTCCTATATATATATATATATATATATATATATATATATATATATATGTGTGTATTATTTGGTCCTCCTGAAAAAAATTGATCGATGTTTTACCAAACTGATATAATAAAAAAAATGGTATCGAATAAATCTCATCAAATTTTACATTTTATGTTTCTTTGCAAAATTGATGGGTATAATTATAAGTTTAGTTTAATTTTTTTTAATTATTGAATACTAAGTATAATATACACTACATAAATTTAAAATATTATTTAATATCAAAATGTATCCTATTGTATCGAAATCTAATATTTTTTTAGAATTAATATATTAGAATGTCGTATCATATCATATCATGTCTCGTATCGATATCAGTCCAACATACATAGGGACCATTCATAACCCAAGTCCAGGTATATAATACTATAATATTTTTATAAAAATTGCTTTTGTATGATTTTTTTTACGATAAAAGAAATTTACAAATATTCTATTTTGAAAAAGACATTAATTTTTATTCGTGAAGTGTAAATGCAATTCAAAGATTGAAGTATGAGAAAAATGTTTCTGCAATTAATGCAGATAAGTTATCTGCATTTATTCTCAAAACGACGTCGTTTTGGTATTGAAATTTTAAAAAATTATAAATATAAAGACTATTATAACCCTGAAATAAATTAAAATTACAAAAACACCATGATTTTCCTCCCAAAACAATATTGTATTGGACTTACTACATATAACTTATCTACAGTAACTACAGAAAAAACGAACCTTGAAATATAATGACAAATGAAAAAACTAAGCGATACGATGTTACAAAATTATGCATATATTAATGAAGATAATCAAACATCCAATACCCAAAAGTGCATTCATTATTATAAATTCAATAGAACAAAAATCATTTGGTCCCCTGTCGAAACAAACGAACAAAACTAAGGTGCTAGCTCGAGAGAAAAGTTTTGGTGGACTAGACCACCAAAATTCTGTGGTCCCCTTTTGTATTTTCACAAAAAAAAATTTGCTACACTCTTTTCTTTCATTTTATATTTTTTTCTTTAAAGGGAAACTACTGAATTTTGGTGGTCCTAATCCACCAAAGTTTTTCTCCTAGCTGAAACCTTAAAGCAACGGTCCCAGGCTCCCAGCCTTTAATACTTAGATGTGAATACAGTTGAACTGTTGCATAATAAGATATAATGCATTCATTTAAAAAAAAAAAAAAAAAAAAAAACAGACACACACACAATTTTATGATTGATTATAATCTTTACTACTTTACAAAACAAAATTAATTTCATTAAACCATCAATATCAACAACACATTTATTCTAAATAAGTTGAAGAAAAATTATGTATTTATTTACCTACTATATCGTGTTAATCAACCACAGAAGAAGCTCTAAATCCAGAGTGAAATTGATTTCAAGAGTTTGAATGATATACCCATGACATCAAATCCCTTCCAAAGGCAGATAGTGTAAATAAGCAAAACAAAATCAACGGTACTTCTTTACGTGGTAAAGAACTTATTTTTCTTAATTAGAAGTCTTGAATTTGATCTTTAAGAATGGAAAAAATTGATCTAAGAAGAACAGCCCCTATAATGGATCACACAATATTTGATCCTGAACAACAAAAATGGGCATAATTGACTAAGGGTTTGACTCATACTTTAAGGGCACGAGTTCAAATTTTACTGTAAAGACTTTGTTGGTAAATAATAAGTAATCTCTTTCAAAGATTCTCAAAAAGATTGGGGTCTTTAATAATACTGGTGTCTAACCCCACTTAAACTTTTGTATCTTACAAAAAAAAAATATTCAAACCGGATTAATTGTATAATTGATGAAGCCATGAATATATAAAAAATAATAATAATAAGAAAAAGAAAGAAATGAACTTACATTGTTCAAATAATTCCTTGCATCAACTCGTCGGAGGAGATTAAAACGTTCTGTTGCAATTAATAAACCAAGGAGAGTAACCAATAGCGTCTCCAGCACTGGCACCAGTGCCACGAAGAACAAGTCCCAGAATGCCATTGATGAATGTGATGTGAGGTGTTAGGAGCAGGAAGGAACACCTACTGTGTTATATACTCAAGAAAAACTAGCTTCCTGCACCTAATTCAGGAAGAAGAACTATTCGTTGGAGATGAAAATGATTTTTATCTTTCAGCTTTTGTACAAGTTGGTGTGAGGTTAGAGGAGTATTTTCATGCGAAAAGCAAACATATGGAGGAGAAGAAATACCGACCCATATAATTAACTTAGTGGCCATTCGGAACTTGGAACTTACTGAGCTACTCTATAAGTTGTTTGGAGAGTGGAAGCAGCTAGACATTAATGTTAGCTTTCACCATGCAGTTACACAATTATTTGTCATGTGCATGGATTTAAGTATGTGCGTGCTTAGTTTTTTTTTTTTTTTTTATATATTTAGAACATTATATAATCAAATCTTACTAAAAAAGTGTTTGAAAAAAATATTAAAAATTAAGCAAATTCAAAAATACACTAAATTCTACTTTTGATGACTAATAGTTCAATTAGTAGTCAACGAGATTGTAATTAGGTTGTCAACATTCCATTCTTTAAAATTGTAATGCGACCATGGTGTTGGAGGTTCAATCCTTAACCGAAATTAGTATGTCTCCGAGATTTAATATTGTAATTAATTACAAGTGTAATGGTGGTAACAATGCACGAGTGATATTTAAAAGTCAAAAAGAGTTTAATGTTTTTCGTATAGAAGATAAATTTATCTCCTATAAATACATAAAGATATATAAGATTCATGTAGGTTAATGTAAGAAGAAAAAAGAAAAAAAAATATAAATTTCATGTGTACGAGATAAAATTTATCTCATTCATTATCAAAAACATTAAATCTGTTTAGTGTTATGTATAAGGTTTGATAGTATAAGCTTATACTATATGTTATGACATTTTCAGTTGTTTGGTGTGACCATCGCATAGTATAAGCTTATACAGCAGAATCAAAATGATATATAACTTAATCAAGCCTAAGGGAGTGAGATTAGGCCTAATAAGAATTAATGTATTAATATTACTTGCAAGCACAATTTTCAAGAACTAATATATATATATATATATATATATATATATATCATTTTAATATTAATATGTTAAAATAAACTTTTTTAATATATTAATTTTTAAAATATTGAAAAATACTATCTTATACAATATCATACCAAACACAAGATGATATTAAAATTTAATCAAATCTTAAACAATCGCATCTTTTCTTGTCAAATCTTATACTATTACTCAATATAAAGGGAATGTATTGTTTATAATAAATTAATAATTGACGGTGACAAGCGTACGGTTTCTGTTTAGGGAGAGAGAAAAAGTTTTGATTCCCTTTGAATTCGGCTAGCTACAAGTCTTCTTCAACCAAACAGTCAACAGGATCAGGGGAAAAAAATCTCTTTTCGTGTAGTGATACTTAATTATATAAGTGAAACATTGTAAAAATGAAAATTAAAAAAAAAATAAAAATTCAATCCCATTTAATTCGATTCGAGTTCGTCAGATCAATATTGTGAGTGACTTTCCAATACCATTTTTTTTATTTTTAGAACTCGAACTTGAAATTTCTAGTTAAAAGAGAAGTCTCGTACCACTTGAATGAAATATCTCATTTCTCTGTTATGACAAAGCTCCTAAAATATAACAAAACTAATTCAAACTATCAAATATCTCATTCCATTAGTTATGACATAAGAAATATTGGTCTGTGTATGTAACCCACACTTGCAGGGAAGGATATGTTGGGTGCTTCGTTACCCAGAACAAAACGTGTCTTTTCTAACTCAATGAATATAACTGAGTTGACAATATAAGTTAAATAGTTAAGGAGAAAATTTGGATTTAATTTTTACCAGATTTATTTTTGGGAAGGGATAAAAAAAATTTAACTGTAATTAAGCTCTAATTTAAAATTAGTTTTATAGTCGCTTCAAAAAATTGAAGTTTGTAAGAATATTTAAAAGACCTATTTACTTCAAAAAGTTAATTAGCGTCGATATAAAAAAAAATATCTTTTGTTATTTTGTAGTTTTCATTTCTCTGTTTTCTTGTGTTTTGTTTTTTTTTATCTATTTTTACCCCGGCTCTTGCCTCAATTGTTTTGCAAAAAAAAAAAATATATATATAAAAATATTGGTAAAATTTGTTTTAAATTCGAACTACTAAAAGAGAATCTACAAAAATCACAATTTTTTTTTGGTAGGGACACACATCACAATTTTATTCATGTTTCAACTGACATTAATAAAAATTTATAGTTTAACATACTTTTTACTCAAATGCTGATTCAAAAATCTATTTTCACTTAAATTTACTTTTCATAAATAAGTATAGGTTATATAATAATTTTAAAACATATAAGTATTAATAGTATGGTGAATTTAAAATAAAATTATATATACGTGTAAATTTGGTTCAGATTGGATTAAATCAGATTTTAAAATCAGAATTGAAAACTACTCCAATTCAATCAAAATATTAGATTTTTATATTTTTAATTTATTTAATTTTATTTGATTATTTTAATTTTCATTGGATTGAATTAGTTTAAAAGCTTCCATGTATCCTACTTATTATTCATTAATTAGATTATCTAAATTACAAATGTAGATCTCTTGCACAGTAGTTAAAGAGGAAAAAAATAGAGTAAATACAATTTTCGGTCCTCAGTAAATTTCACGATACCCGTTTTAGTCTCTAGCAAATAAAAAGGTTATGTGTGGTCTCTAAAAAATTCAAAATTGATTCATTGTAATCTTTTTGAGGGACTAATATGTGTCTTTTTTAAATTTGTGAAAAACTATGATTTCAACTAAATAGGTCCATTTTGAATTTTTTAAAGATCACAAATAGCCTTTTTATTTGTTAGGGATTAAAACGGACATTATGAAATTTACTGAAAATCAAAAAGAATATTTACTGGGAAAAAATAATAACAAGTGGGGACCACGGTAGTAAGGCTTTTTCTCTTCCTTTCTCTCTCTAAAACTGCACTCGAAATTGATCGATGATCCAAATCATTGAATGACGTCCTTGGCACAAATAGTAAGATAATGTCACGAGTATGATAAATACAAAAACAGTATGTTATATGTTTCCAAAAAAAAAAAAAAAACAGTATGTTATATCATTTTTTTTAACTACTTGTGTAGATAAAAGTTAAAACCATACAGCTTACCAAAAAAAAAACCATACAAATATCACACTCTACATACTCAGTGATTAATCATTACGTCAGAATAGCAAATATTCGTACAAGTCTGAGCTTGTTTGTTAGGTGAAGCAGTGAAGGTATTAATTCTTATGGACCATTACCAAGCAGCGTAAAAGTACTTAGATTATTTCTTATGGATAGGTTTGAATGAGTTTTTCCTTTTTTTTGAATAAAAAGTTCAGAATTTGAGAAGTACAAAATTCTAGTTAAAAAAAAAGAAGATAAATTATAATTTTTTCAGTTATTTACACTATAATATCTCTAAAATACTTTTTTTCTGTTTCTTTTTAAAGAAAATCGGAGGACAACTATAACTTTTTTGTTTGTTTGAGTGCAACTATAATTCTTTGCACAGAATAAACATGGCTCAGATAAAAGAAAGCAATAGCTCAACTAACAGTATTGAACTTCTGACATTTGATCATAAAACACTGAACGGTCGATCCTTCACTTAAGCGCCTGAACACATTTTTTTTTTTTTTTTTTGTAATAAAGAGGGGTAAAAGCCCCAAACAAAACAAAAATTACACGACGCGAGAACTTAAAAGATCTACAGAAGCATCCTGGAGAAGGAGCTCTAACAAAGGAGAAGGAGGAGAATGATAAACAATAAGATTATTATCATCCTCAAAATGCCTAGAAGCAAACCAGTGAGCACATCTGTTATTTTCTCGAAAAGTGTGGACCCAACGAACATCCCAATCTTCAGTAAGCCATTTGTGAATACGGGAAACAACCTGAGAGTTTCTGTGATTATTGCTCCCTTCTTGGATAGTGCTAAGAGTAATTTCTGAGTCACATTCCAACTCCACTCTCCTAGCACCAGTACCCCAGGCCAGCTCTAAGCCTTTGAGGATACCCCAGAGTTCTGCATCAAGAGGATTACAGAAACCTAATCTGGAAGAGAAACCACTCAGAAAAGCACCATTGTGATCTCTAGCCAGGCCTCCACAGCTAGCATGCTGCCTAGATAAGAAAGAAGCACCATCTGTGTTAATCTTCAACCGACCAGGTTCAGGACGACACCATTTAGTAGGCTGATGGGCATTAGGGAAGCTGCCAAGAATGCTTCTATTCTTACCTCTAGCTTCAATTAAATGAGCAATAAAATCAGAAATGACACGCTTATCATTGCTTGGCCTTCGGAAACTATCATCATGAATATGATGATTACGCCAATTCCAAAGATTCCAGCAAGTAGTATAAAAAATATCTCTCCAATCAACGTGAATTTGATAATTCCAACCCTTACTCACATTTTTGATGAGCCAAGGCTGTAGAACACATTTGGAAGCGTAGATATTAAACTTAGGTGCCTTCATCAATTTGGTTGAAATATTGAGTTAATGAGTTACTGATTCAATGACAATGTTAATCAAACCGTATAAAATAAGAAAAGATGAATATTGTTGTTAGGTATTTAATTAAGATATTGTTAAATACACAAATTTGGTCAGTAAATGTGAGTCAACAGAGAGTCTTTACATATTAGTGCAAGGCGATTAATTATTAAATGTAAAGTGTATTTATATTGAAGTATTTTCCTTCGGGATACGATCATCTTAATTATATCAGTGTAAGAATAATAAATCTTACATCAGATCTTAACTGTTGATTTATATGCATCTAACGGTTAAGATTTATTGTGTCTCATTAATTAATTATTAATTCTCAATAAATTTTAACCGTTAGATACACGAAAATCAACGATTAAGATTTGATGTAAGAATTATTATTCTTACATCTGTGTAAGTTGATCCTATCCCTTTTCTTAAACACTAATAAAATAAATTAACTTTATCTTAATTGCACATGTCAATAAATTATCATATAATAGCCCAAAATATATTTTCTTAGAAAGAAAACTATGGGTTATTTAAAAGGCTAATTAGGAACACGCCCTTACATATAAATTTTGATATGACCAGAGGCGCCCCCTTCAAACATCAACGAAATGATTCCAAG